TACCTGTATTTGTGTGTTGGTTGTAATGTAATCTTTTCTTTTGTGTCTCATAGCGTAGTGGAGTGGTGATCGTCCGGCTTATAAACAGTTGGGGTTTGATTTCGGGTTGGGTAATTATGTTTTATTTAAATATTTGTTTTTTTTATATTTCAACCGGACCTAAATGTCGCCACTCCATTCCGTAATTTTTGTTAATTGCTTCGCGAAAGATGCCGACTTCCACACCTGGTTTCACCTAGTGCCATGGTGTCGGATCTTTCGCGCTACAAGTGTCAATTCGACGCGTTCCAGGAAACTGGGGGTTCTCCGTACGGCTTAGGTTCTCCGTACGGCTTAGGTTCTCCGTACTGCTTAGGTTTTCCGTGCGGCTTACGTTCTCCGTACGGCTTACGTTCTTCGCGCAGCCTACAACAACGGTCTGCAAGATCTCCGTGCGGCATGCAAGCACCGCACGTCTTGGCTTCGGTCTGACTGCGGAACACCACGGGACACGGTCTGCCGTCGCGAGCCTACCCGGATTACCGTGAACCACAGGACACCTTCGAGTTCCCCCGAAGTCTGGGGAAGTTCCTCGCCAGAAGACCCTGCCCGCGTTACGAAAGCCGATAACCCAGATAAGTCCCCAGAGCACATAGGTTCAACCGGAAAGCTTCCTGTGCCAAGAAGTCACACCCTGAGACTTAAAAAATATTGTATTATAATTAATTGAATTTGGTTTTTTTTTCCGTCCGTCCGTCCATGTCCGTGTGGTGACGGATTAAGAATATGGAACGTCACCACCCCTATTCATCCCGTGGGTGTCGTAAGGGGCGACTAAGGGAACAAACTACGCAGGACAACAGCACTGAAAAGAGAAGGAAAACTTGAAAAAACCCTTTTTTTTTTTTTTTTTTTTAACGTGTGGAAATCCCCTCGGACCGTCACCCCTCCGGGGTTTGCGGCGGGGTGGTGTGTCGGACTCGGACCGACTAAAACCACACGGTGTGCCACTCTGCGCCTGTAACAGGAGGGATCCGGGAACAGCTGTTGTTAAGACATCCGGACCCCTCCTAGCGCCAGCCCGCTCCTGGTGCGGGCTCCGTCTCAATATTTTTTCCTCTCTTTAGGCGACGTCCGGCACACGCGGACGCCGCCCCCTCGCGGCTGGCCAAACTAATGCGGGTGGAGGGGAAACCCACCCCGTCCACCCGCGGCCACACTCAGGGCGGCATGAGGCGGTGATAGGCGGGCCTCAGCCGCCCGGTTCGCCGGCGGCGGATGGGGTCCGAGTTAATTTTTTTGTTGTTAGAGTATGCCGTGTGGTGACGGATTAAGAATACAGAGTGTCACCACCCCAATTCATCCCGTGGGTGTCGTAAGAGTCGACTAAGGCAGAAAACTACGCAGGACAACAACACTGCAGAGAGAAGGAAAACTTGACACAAACCCTATACCAACCCGTCTGGCCAGCGTGGTATAGTAGGCCAAAACCTCCTTTCTAAGGAGAGGCCTATGTCCATCAGTGGACTATTAAAGGCTGTTGATGATGATGATGATGGTTTTTTTTTCCTTTTTTTTTCTTCTTTTTTGTAATTTTTTTTTTTACAATTACAATTAAAATCGAGTATTTGTGTTTTATTTGTGCCCGCCGACAGGTGGCCGGAACAAACCATACGCGGTTACCGCACCGTTTCGACGGAGGCGGCGTGCGCATTGGCCTGTACTCCAACGTGGGATTGGGAGCGGAAGTGCTCGCCGAAGTACATCGGCGGACGGCTGAGTACCGGGCGGATAGTGGCAGTCGGCCCCCGCCCGAAGGTGCCCGCCCCGCCCCGACGTGAGTGGCGTGAGGCCGCTCGTCGAGCACGGAAGCACGGGACCCTTTCTTTCCGCCTGATGCAGGTCCTTTCCAGGCACGGCTGCGGGAAGTACCTGCGCCAGGAGGAAATTGAGTCCCGTCTGTCACTACTGTCACAACCAATTTGCCCAGCTTGGGCGCCGCAGCACCGGGTTCTCATTGCACTCATCAGGGGGATCTCTCGCTGCCGGCCGTCATACGCTCCATGGCCGGTAGTGACAAATGTTTCACCGATGTCGCATCCTTCTGCGATGACGTCATCTCGCAGAAGGGGGCGGAGAGGGCCCGGGAGGACAACCTCTACTAGGACCCAATCCGTTGCCGTCGAACCGGGCGGCGGAGGCGCGCCTACCACCGCCTCATGCCCTGAGTGTGGCCGCGGGTGGACGGGCGGGTTTTCCCCTGCACCCGCCATAATGGCCAACCGCGTCGCCGCGGGGTTCGGATGTCTTAATAACAGCCGTTCCCGGATCCCTCCTATTACAGGCACAGAGTGGCACACCGTGTGGTTTTAGTCGGTCCGATTCCTACACACCACCCCGCCGCAAACCCCGGTGGGGTGACGGCCCGAGGGGGTTTCCGCGTAAAAAAAAAAAAGAGAGGTAGGATGTGTCCGATGGAGATAATATCTGCGTCTACGTGCAGAATACGCGGGGAAGCCCAGACATCCACGCCCAGACTCTATGTGTTCTGAGCGTGGACCTCCAGATTGGGATTCTCCAACGCTAACGCAGTTAGTATCCCCCTGGGGTAGAATATTTTTCAACGACGCTCTCATGAGGGGGGATATAGGGGGGTTGGGCTCCGGAAACCTCACTCACTCGGTGAAATGCAACAGAGAAATTGCTTTACGACCGGTTTTCTGTGAGGCCGTTGTATCGCACCGGTCGAGCCGACCCATTTTTGCCGAAGCATGGCTCTCCCACGTTTATTTTTTTACGTTACGTTAAATTTAGAAATGTTCTCATTAGATTATTGGATTAACTGGTACAACTTAAATGATGTAGTGAAGCACAATATAGAAGGTATATGTTTTGTTGGGGGTGTGGGGCCTGGGGTGTGAGGGGGCGAACCACCTTCTTTCGCCAACCTCACCTGCCCGCGGTGCATCCTGCTGAACGACGAACGACGGTCTAGCGACCGACCGATGGCGGTATATCGAACCCAATAGGCGTAGCTAAATACAACAGGCCGGTGACGGTCACCGGTGCGACAAGCTGCGCCCTGCGATCGCCAACCCGCCTGCCCAGCGTGGCGATTATGGGCAAATCCAAATGTGATGTATGATTAAATAAATATAATCTACTCTATGTTAATCTCTATATTTCTATAATACATAGAGTATTATTGTAATCCTTTATATAATTTGAGCCACTAGAATCGTGATAGTGGCAAATAAGGCTCCAGCGGTAATTACGTGGGACGATAATGAGTTTGCGAGTTTTATTATCTATCTGGACCTTACGCCTCAACAACTTATCCTGTAAAATAACATACGTGTCTGCGATTGTCTGGGGTATCGAATCAGACTTTAATTGATCGACAATGTTTTTTAACACTGGGTCGCGCTTTTGCTCAATAAGAAGCCAGTTATGGTCAAGAGTTGAGGAATTTATCGAAAAACGTAATGTTTCGGATACCTGATTATTATATTTTGAAACACGAGGTTGATCTAATGGGTTGCGACTAAAGTAATCAGCATGAGTAAAACGGTCTCCCTTACGGTATTCTACCTCAAACTCAAAATTTTGGAGAAACGCCCACCAGCGGTGTACACTAGGAGTAAGCTCCTTTTTATGCCTTGAAGCCTTAAGCGAATTGCAGTCAGTTATTACTTTGAAAGGTCGACCATGTAAAAAGTGGCGAAAATGTTTAATAGCTTTTACGACTGCCAGCGTTTCCAGTTCATACGAGTGGTATTTACTTTCGACGCTGGTCGTTTGCATGCTGAAGTAACCAATGACATGAGAATTTTGGTCTCGTTTTTGTACTAATACAGCGCCATACCCGAGAGAACTAGCGTCGGAATGTAGTTCGCATGGTAGGTCGGGATCAAATATTGTTAATAGAGGCGACGAAGTTAAACGGTTAATTATTTCCTGTCTAGCCTTATCTTGACTTTCAGTCCACTTCCAAGGGACATTGCTTTTGGTGAGCTCATACAAAGGTGCCCTAATTTTGGAAAAGTTTGGGACAAATTTCCTAAAGTACCCTGCAAGCCCATTAAATTGTCGAAGTTCTTTTATATTCTTGGGTATTTGTGAATTAGATAAAGCATCAATTTTTCTAGGACTAGGTTTTACTGTACCGTTCTGTATGATGTTGCCGAGATAATCTACACTGGTCTTTAAAAACGAACATTTTGAAATATTTAAAGAGAATCCGGCATCAGTTAATCTTTTCAATACTAAACTCAAATTGTTTATACCTTCTTCGACTGATGTTGACATAACCATGACGTCATCAATGTAATTAAGAGTTATGCTGTCCTTAAATCCATAAACAGAAGGCGCATTACAAAGCCCAAAGGGCATCCGGAGATATTCGAATTGGCCATCTGGTGTTACAAACGCCGTTTTCTCTATGGAGTCTTTTGCAATAGGAATTCCATGGAATCCAGCCGCCATGTCTAGACAAGTAAAGTAACGAGCTTTGCCTAATTTGTCAATTTGGTCGGCAATAAGAGGTAAAGGGTAATTATCCCGGACAGTATTGGCATTCAACTCCCTATAGTCGACGCAAAGTCGATCGGAACCGTCTTTCTTTTTGACCAACAGAATGGGGCTACTGAAAGGAGAAGAACTATCCCGGATAATATTATTTTCTTTTAAGTCATTTATAATACATTTGACTTTTTCGCGTTCTAAGGGTGACAAACGATAAGGTCTGCGTTGAACTATTTTCTCGGGTTTTTTAAGTTTTATAGTTAATTCACCCGTCTTGATCTCAGAGACACGATTGCCAAATGTGAAACTAAATTTGTAAATTTCAAGAAGGCTATGTAATTTTTTAATTAATGCAGGGTCCTTAATTTTGCTATTCACGTCAAAGTTATAATTAGTTAGTTTTAATGATTCGTTAATAAGTAATTCCCGCTTTATAGAAATACCTTCTTTACTAACCGTTACACTAAGACCCGGCGTGCTTACAATTTCATAGCCAATTAAAATGTCGAACTGAGTTTGAGTATCCCAACAACATAGAATTCTACCTCAATACACACGTCACCAAATTCGACTTTGGTCGTGATACTTTGCGTCGAAACTACTGGAGAACCACCTATACCCATAAAGGCTACGTTTACGATTTTTCGCTTTTCAGGAATTGAGCCAGCGATTTTATTCCTAATTAGAGAACAATCGGCACCCGTATCAAGTAAGCAATAGTAAACTTTATTACCTATAGTAATATTGGTTACGCTACGATCTCTTGGGGTACAGAAGTTAATTGTTTGGTTGTTAGTTAGCCCCAAACGCTCATCATTTTGTTTACGGAAACAATTATTTTCACTATGTCCCTTTCTATGGCAATAATTACATTCTATAGATCTAATCGTATTAGCAGGTAGCAGTGTAGTAGAAGTTGAGGTCTTCGCAGGTGGAACAAGAGGACGTCTCTCTTTACATTCACGAGAAAAATGACCCGGCTTGTTACAATTAAAACAATTACCAGATGGCTTGCTAACTGGCCTAGCCATCCGCTTGTGTAGCTTACAATTAGTGTCATCAGAACGCTCAGCCTTTCTCTTACGATATGTCTTTAATACAGAAACTAGCTTAGGTAAGGAATCAGGCGTATTTCTTAGCAACTCTGATCTAATAAATTCGGGATAAATACCTGTTATCAAGGCATCGATAACCTCAGGGTCCGTAGCTTCTGGTCTTACACGTTTGAACAGCGTCCAGCCTGTCGTAGCGTATTCCGCGTAATTGTCAGCTTGCTCGGAGGTGTAGCCGCGCCATTTTTGTACGTCGTCAGCATATCGAAACTCCTTGCCGAAAGTTCGAATGAGGTCTTCTTTGACTTGCTGCCACGTGGTTGATTGAAGCGACCACGTGTCTGCCCAAATCTTGGCCCTACCTTTTAGTTGAAGGATAGCCTTCATCCTTGCTTCTTGCGGTGGTATATGGAAAGCCGCAATCGTCTCGTCAACATTTGCACACCAATCACGGATGTCATGAGAGCGTACATCAGGATCGAATGATGGTAGGTAGAAACTACCACGCATTGTACTTCCCGTAGAATTAGCAGCCAAAGCCGCAGATACAGCACTTGATGCTGCTTTGCTAGTGATCGAAGAAACTAGGCTCATTACATCTTGTAATGTGAAAGTCGACTCGGTTCTCTTTTCAGAGTGTGAGGTCCGAAAAATAGGAGATTGATATCCCTCCGCTGCTGTCGGCGTGGCGTCAGGAATAGGGTTCTCGGCGTCCATATTGTCGAACAAATAATAACTTCACACTTTACAATGAACTGTGTATTTTAAGAAATATATTAACAATGTTTACACTTCGGGTAGTTTCAATAAACTGTCTCGACCGCCAACAATATTCACCTTTTATACACTAAACCATTTCCGTCTTAAAATAATATATAAACTCAATTCAAAACTGAAATTAACCGTTACTACATAATAATTAATCTGATTTATAATTAATTCCTATTTAATATTAACATTATTAAAGGAACGTTTTATAACAGTCAATATTGCTTATTTCTACATAATCACGTTTCAATTTGCAAATCTTAAAATTAATACAGTATAATTTTAAATTAGATAAAGATATAATTACAAATAAATGCTACTTACTTTTTAAGATTATCATAACAATACTCCTTTATTTAATTTATATAAGTGCTGATATGATGTCAAATCTATTTTTGATTAATGTAAGTCAATACATACTACAATTTTACATGATTTAATTATAATAAATTTTAATGAATTATGAGTTAAACTAAGTGGATATTAAAATTAAATATTAATGTTAAAATAGATCTCAAACACGATACTTCTTAAATTTAAGTTATTTAGCACTCATTATGACGTCATATCAACATTCTGTTACTATTAAATCAGTACAGCGCCCATATATACATACCCTACTTACAATTTATGTCGAAATAACTTTTAAAATAATAAACTCTGTCAATTCATTGGATTACTGTGTCAATATTCTAAAGATAATAATATAACTTGTGTCTTAAATTTTGAACCTAGTATATTTTTGTTTTTAGCTGAATTTGTTTCTCAATTTTTAAAATATTACTTAATATTTTAATATTTTATTATAATATTTTAAAATATTAATTTATTTTAACTTTCTCACACTCTGTTAATAGTGAAGAAGTATACTCAGTAGCATTATTTTTTACTTTTGTGAACTGTAAAAGTCATTAAGTCTACATCACTAGTTTGTAAACTTGTTGAGATGTTTTTTTTTGTATAATTGAACTTAAATTGTAGACCACCATGGCCCATTTACGTAAGTGCATTAATTACCTTAAAAAGGATGAACTTATTAATGAACTGTCTGCCATGGGGATTTCAGCGAATCCTGATGATACGGTTGTCGGCTTGCGAAGTGAGCTGCGTACTGCTTTGCGGCTTATCCGGCGTGGCAGCATTAAGGCCATCGCCGCTGTTCCTGCTGTTGCCGCCTCTGAGTTGTCTGTTTGCGAGCCTAAGGTCTTTGAGCTGGAACAGGTCCTTTCTTCAGGTGACTTTGTTTCGAATAAAAATTGTCGTACTAGAGTTGCATTGAGGGCTAATTATCTTCTCGCTAGGTTAGCCAGGTGTAGTTTAGACTGTCCAGAACTAGTAGGTATCCGTGACCGCTTAGTCAAAGTCTTGTCTGTGTCTGAATCAGATACCGACTCGGACTCTGAGGGTTCGGAGAAGGAGACCGATCCTACTCATCGCGACCACATAGGTTACACCTCACCTGTGGTAAGGGTCCACCTATCCCACGTAAGTCACATACACCCCGTATGTGACTTACGTGGGATAGGTGGATGGCTGTATAGATCTTGCTCTTGGAGTCTATAGGGGCTGGTTCAACAGCGTCACGTACAACACACTTTGCGATGAGAGTGTTTTTAATGAGAATCACACGCGCACTTATAGTTGTTTTCTTTATTAACGTGGCGCCGGCGTAGGATTCCCGGTGTTTAGAGCGGGTGGGAGTAACGGAGTGACGTGTGACTTGAGAGCGAGGAGACGACTTGACAAGTAAGAGACGACGACCAACTTCCGCGTCTTGAGAATAGCGTCAGACTACTAGTTCATTTCAAAATGGTTCTAGGATATGCGGAGCGGGGAAAGGGGGGAAGGAATAAAGGGTGTGTGTTTGATGCGTTCAGAAACGTGTAATGAGTGATTGAGTAATATTTAAATATAAAATAATAGAATAAATACGTGAGTAATAATATGGCGTAAACGGCGTTTACAACCCCCCCGGCCTAGAGGTCTTTCCTCTAAATAAAGCGTAATAGTAAAACTAATATCTAAGAGTAAGAGTTAAAAAAAATATTATTGCCGCGGAAGAGGGCAAACTCTAACCACTGGGCGAATAAAGCTACCGGCAGCAGTGCGAACTTTAACTGTGCGAATTACTTTATCCCTTCCCGGATAAATTTCCTCTACTGTACCCAACGGCCAACAGAGAGGGTGCGCGTTATTATCCTTAATTACCACCACCGTACCTAATTCTATAGGATGCGAGGGTGTGAGCCACTTCTCTCTCTAAAAATGTTTTGTTGAAGGTTGGTACCCGTAAACAACAAATCATTAAGCGACTTTCCCGACGTCGTTTTAGCGCTGGCGTCTAAAACCACGCGAATCTTCGACGTAGGTACTTTTATCTGGCCGATAGACGGCCCTATGCGGTATGTAATAAGAGTTGTGAATTTGAGCATCAGAGTTGACTTTTGATAAGTAACCCTGATCAATATAATTTTGTATAGTTGCGTAATTCAAGTGCGTTATCTAATTTTCTTTCCAAATTTATTAATCGTTTTTTAGCGATATTATACGAGTTTCCGAGCAAAACGGGATCATATTTAAATGGGAGCGTTACAGTATATCTACCCGTCTCGTCGCGGGAATGCGTTGCCTGAAAGATACGTTCGCAGACTTCATCATCAGGACTTGTGTGAACTTTATTTGGTACCCTTTCGAGCTCCCAGAAGCGTTGCGTTAAGTCTTCTAAATTGTGCGTTTGAGCAGAACAGAAAAATGTTTTATTAATTTTTTTTTTCGTGTTTAAATCGGAGTCATCACACTGAGCTCTGCCCATCATTATATAACCGAGCGTGGTTTCCATGGCAACAACTGAACACGGAGGAAAGCTAATCTTATTGTTGCGAATTAAATGCGGGAATAACTCGTTACCCAGCAAACAATTTATTTCCGAAGGGATGTAAAAATCATCATCCGCTAGTGGTATGTCGCGTATACCAGCCAGCTGCGATATATCCACGTGATAGTTCGGTAAACGATCCGTGATGCTATCTATGACTAAAGCTTTAATATGATAATTACAACGCGCGTCAAAGCGGGATTGAATTTTAAATGTAACAAAACCATACGAGCTACTCTCAGAGTGCCCTATGCCCTTTACTACACACGGGTTAGGTGATATTTGCAAATTTAATCGTTCACAACATACCTTCGTAATAAAGTTAGACTTTTTTCGCTGTCCGTTACAATTAAATGCGTATACATAAGCGGTAGGTAACAAAACAGTGGTATAATTAATATCTCCGTTAGTATTTGTAACTGACAAAGAAACATTAGCGTTTTCAGCATTGGAAACTGAGCCTTGTGTTTTAGGGAGCGAAGGCTTTAAATCGTATGCGCGCGCGTCTTGGGTCGAACGATCTATTCGTCCAGCCGAGCAGCTGTTTACATTCGCGGCAGAGGTGGCGGGGGAACGTCTGCCCTCTTGGTGCAACAAAGTATGATGCCTTCTTAAACAAGTCGCGCAACGATTTTGTGATTTACAAAAATTAATAGAATGAAATCCTAGGCAGTTAATACAATAGTTATATTTCATTACAATTTGATTGCGAGTTTCTGTGCCCTTATTTAAAAATTCAGGACATTTAAATAGGGCATGAGCGGGACATGATTTACAAATAGAACAATAGTTATGCGAGCGTATATGCATATTATTATTATTATTATTAACCGTACTATTTGGCGTGGTGTTCACTATGAACGACTGAGTGTTTTTCGAATTTTTAGTTGAGTTTGCGTTATTATTTTTATGAGAGTGCGTTATGTTAGATTGTTTATTACATGAGTATGACTGTGTGCGTAATGTATGAATTTTATCCTGTTCCTTTATAAACTGTTTAAGATTTTCGAATGTAGGTATATTGACATGTCTATAAGACTGTTCAAATAGCGCAAGAGTGTCCCTATCGAGTTTAGATAATGCGATATGCGTTATGATGAAACCGGCGAGGTCATCAATGCCTAAGCGTCGTAACGCGGATTCGGCTGAGCAAAACCGTTCAATAAAGGCGTCTAATGAATATAATTTAAATTTTAACATCTGTTCTAAGTACACAGAAGCTTGAACTCTAATGTCCTCATATTTTTCGATTAATGCATTCCAAATAATGTCATAATTCTCACCAATAGGTGGAATGCTAGAACAAACTGATAAGGCTTTGTTTGAGAGGTTACCTACGAGGTATTGAACCTTTTCGGCTGCGGTGAGTCGAGGATTATCATGAATGAGACTTTTAAAGTTCTGATAAAACACTGCCCAATTGTTAGGGTTACCATCGAAGCAGGCTAATTGCAGTGGTGGCAATTTTGGCGTAATTTTTGGTTTCTGCACGCAGCCGGGCCGCAGAAGAGAGTTCTCAACCATTTTAATATGACAATACAAATCATCAAATGAGTTTATTTCCGAGTAGGTAGGCTTGACCTCTTTGTCCTGTTCCATAAACAATAAATTCAAATCATCTACTGTTTCTAGAAATTCGGTTCTAGTATGTTCTAATGATTTTATACGCGATAAGAATTTAGTTTGCGAGATATGATCGGAAACCTTTAAGCTGAGATCGTAAGTTTCTTGAGTTCTTTGAAATAATGCTTCTTTTTTAGATTGCAATAAAGTAATTTTACAAAGTAGTTGGGTGGCCATATTGAAAGTGAAACAAGTATGACCGGATGCATCTGAGAAATAATTGAAGTTAACTATTAACTATTTTCAGTGTATTTTAATAATATAATATCAATATATTATTGGATATTATAAATATATACTATTAATAATAATAGAATACGGAAATAATGTGAGTAGCGATAAATAAGCGTTGCGAAGAAATAAAAATGGCGGATGTGTGCGTTTCTTACAATTGAATTTTGTAAGATGAAATATGCGTCGTGCGAGAGGTATTTAATAATATAACATCAGTATATTACTGAATAATATATATAAGCTATTAATAATGATAGAATGCGTAAATAGGGTGCGTAGCGATATAGATATAAGCGGTTTTAGAAGATAAATATGGCGGCGTGTTTGTCTTCTTAATTGCGTTACAAATAAAATATAATATATGTTTTGTGTAAATTGCGGATGCGGCTTTGAAGGACCAGGAGTTGTATGTGACTTACGTGGGATAGGTGGATGGCTGTATAGATCTTGCTCTTGGAGTCTATAGGGGCTGGTTCAACAGCGTCACGTACAACACACTTTGCGATGAGAGTGTTTTTAATGAGAATCACACGCGCACTTATAGTTGTTTTCTTTATTAACGTGGCGCCGGCGTAGGATTCCCGGTGTTTAGAGCGGGTGGGAGTAACGGAGTGACGTGTGACTTCAGAGCGAGGAGACGACTTGACGAGTAAAAGACGACGACCAACTTCCGCGTGTTGAGAATAGCGTCAGACTACTAGTTCATTTCAAAATGGTTCTAGGATATGCGGAGCGGGGAAAGGGGGGAAGGAATAAAGGGTGTGTGTTTGATGCGTTCAGAAACGTGTAATGAGTGATTGAGTAATATTTAAATATAAAATAATAGAATAAATACGTGAGTAATAATATGGCGTAAACGGCGTTTACAGGGGGACCGCTCGATGCGACCCAACGCACCCAGTTCCGACCCAAATTCAAATATAATAGTAAGGGATAGACCCGTTAATTTAAATTCTTTTAACATAAAATATGATGGCTCTTCTTGTGTACGTGTCTTCATTGAGAGACTGGAGGAGCTTAGATGTGCTCGGGAAGTCACCAAGGATAAGATCCTCACAGCCTTCTCTGACCTATTGGACGGTCCGGCCTTGTCGTGGTACCGCACCAACAAGGAGACCTTCACCTCATATGAGGGCATGATAGAGGAGCTGAGAGAAACTTTCGACCTACCTGACTATGATTATCGCCTCCGCAATGAAATCAGACAGCGTACACAGGCCCGATCAGAAACATTGGGCAACTACATCTCTACGATGCAGGCCATGTTCTCTAGACTCTCGTGCAAGATGCCCAGTGAGGAACAACTGGACATTTTGATGCACAACATCAGGCCCGATTACATGAAGGAATTGGCCCTTCATGACGTGAAATCTATAGTCGATCTGAAGCGATTGGGCAAGCGCCTTGAACTTGCGCGTGCTAGGGCTGAGGCAGTTCAGGAAACAGCTTTAGAAAAGTTTGGGATCTCCTCGGATTTACACCATATAAAAAATGAATGTGTTCAAAAAACTTCTCAACAGGTCTCTGCAGTGGCCCGTCCTTCGACCTCGAGCGCACACAAGTGCTTCCGCTGTGGTGTTGGCGGTCACCCTACCTACGGCTGTACACAGTCGAGGGATGTGGTGTGTTTCCGGTGTGGACAAAAGGGAGTCAAAGCACCTGAGTGTCCGAAATGTAATGCCAAGCCAAAAAACGAGTAAGTCAGGGCCTTGTTAAGAGATCACCAGTCGATTCGGAGCGAGCTTCTCTGTCTGATAGGGACCTCTGTCTGACCACTCTGATAGGGTCCTGTTTACCAAACGGGATAATGATATAAGACCGTATTTAGTAGTTAAGATCCTGAACTTAAATGTTCTAGGGTTACTTGATTCGGGTGCAGCTTGCTCTGTGTTGGGTAAGGGAGCGCACCACATTTTTTTGGAATTAGGGTTTGATCTTGAAAGCATCAGCCCTAGCATCCATCACGCCATTCACGTTATCTAACAATTTATTGAGAGACTTCATGTCGTTCGGTGGGGGCACATACACAGCACAAATGGCAAATTTTTGTCAAAGAGTTGTTATAATTTAAGTGTATAGTGATCCACACATTTTCGCAATCACATTCCCAACCAGTCATACGAATGGAAGGTGTGTCGCGAGAGACAGCAATCAGCACACCACCACCATCCTTCTTGGAATTTACAGTAAATGAGCGTTCCCTGCGATACACATTGTATCTAGAATCCATAAATTCACTGTCACAAATTTTTGAGTTAAGCCACGTCTCCGTAAGTACGATAACATCATAATTCGACTTAAGCACATTTTCATAAACATCTTCTGTTTTAGTGCGGATTCCGCGGACAGTCTGATAATATATCTGCAAGCCGTTGAATTTGAGAGCAATACACCACAACACTGCAAAGTAAGACTGACACTTGATGATTTAAGCTACGAGCTTTAGGCTGTCATAATCCTAAATCCTCCTAATGAGTACTGCTTGACTTGTTTCGTCTTTACGGACGTAGATGCGACCGTTACGAACCCAATTGCTGCTGCATTCAGCTCTTCCGTGACTTTAAGCTTAACTATGGACATCATTTCCTGCTTAATTACATCCCTAATATTGTCAAGAGTGAGTTTCGCTTCATGACGCAACCGCTGCTTGCTTGCTCTAAAAGTGATGTTCGAACAGGATGGCGAGTCGTTTTTTACTGTAGACATATAGTCAGACCCGGGTGAAGTTACCGGATTAGCAGCTTGGCGAACAGGTGTATTAGTGTTTCCTTGTTTCGGCAGCTTGCTTACGCACTCTGGACATCGCCATGCACATTTCTGTTCTTTATTCATGTTATTAAAGCGTTTTTCAGAAACGTTAGCGCATAGTAAATCAAAGCTCTTTGTACAGAGTGAGCACACCAAAAGCTCCTTGGTTTTTATTGTGTAGTTACATCCAGCACAAACTTGATTAGGTGCCATAATAATGTTTAGTATTTAAAAAAGTGGGTAAATACAACTCGCAAAAGCAACAAGTGAACAGCACAAACAGTAAATTGATGGTGTGCTAGGAGCGCGACGCCGAGAAGAAGGTTGTAAGCGCCAGGTGATCGGCGGCGCTTACGCGTGTCTGTTGTACGCCTTTTTAAAACACTAGTCCCTTTTTTTTCTGTTGAACTTTAGAACCCAATTCGGTATTATTGTTGTTAAAAATAGTCAACTTTCACTGCACAATATCACAGAATGATTTCACACTATTAGGAAACTGTTTTAACGCAAATTTAAAGTCCAAACCGATACTTTTAACTATTTAATACGACAACCAACTCGAACACTTGACTGCGCGTTCAACGCTTATAATACTTTTCTTACTTCTTGGAGAATTCCATTCAATTTCTGTAAACCTTCCAGGGGATTTTCGTTCGATTCCTGTAAATTATCAGTCGTTTCCTGTAAATTTTCCTGTAAAGCTGTCAAAAACATATTTAATTATAATAAGTACCTAAATAAAATAAAATCTCATTAATAATACTTAGTAATAATTAGTAAAAACATACCTAAGTTTTGACTTATTACATATACTTGTGACTTATTTTCATGTAGAATGTCCATCAAGTCCACTACAGAATCAGCAATAGGCGGATAATTTACTTCTTTCTGAGTATTTTTTTTAAGCTCTCTAAAAATTTACAGATTTACCATTTCAAAAGCATTTAATTTAATCTGAATAAAATTTATATAGAAAAAAAAATTATATAGAGAGAAAAGCGCGGCAAAACGAGACAGCCGCGATGGCTAGCCGTCGCTCGCCCCCGACGGTCACGGTCAAACAAGTCGGTCACGGTCAAACAAAATGTTTCAGAGTCACAGTAAAATCATACATAATAAAGTAGCCAATATTAACGAAAATCCAAATAATCTTACATTTATTACTTAAAAAGTAAACATTTTCGCGATTAAACTATTTCTGACGTCAGATTTTTGATAAAAAGTAGACAATTTTAAAGTAAAACATAAGTTTTTACAAAAAAATAAGTAAAACAGAATACAATTTAGAAAAAACATAGTTTTAATGAAAAAGATCATTACAGTATTATTCATATTTTATCACAAAAACTGTACAAATACATGATTATACAATTTTAAAAGGAGAATTGATTCAAACTTTGATGCACATCTATAGCAATAAGTGTATAATTTTGATATTGTATAATACTAATGAAAAAGAATGCTTACCTTAGGGTCAAGTTTTCGTTTTTGTATGCTTTTGAAGAGGCACAACGCGTGCACTGCTCTTTAAAACTAACCAATGCGCTATCTAGCGAGTGTTTGTTGAACAACGCTCATTTGGCAATATTTAAGAGAAAAATACTGGTGATACCAAACATTTCCGCATAATAACTCAATTTCGAATATTTTTCGAAATTGTACACTTTTAATGCTAAAAGGCGAAATATAGATGAGTTTCGGGTGTCAATTTGGGCTAGAGAAGTTGTGAGATTGGTCTTCTTCTCTTGTCTAAATTGGCTTATCTTACTAATCATTTTTTACTTTGCGCGTGCCGTTGTAATTTCGACCACAATAGGAGTAACTGAAGTCGAAGCTGACTTGGATCTGTAGCGAAAGATATCTTTAATATGACGGTCCTCAATGGATGACTCAACAGCCGTGCCTATGTTTTTCACTATTTGCACGAGAGATTGTTTATTTTCAGATGGATATTTTTTGGATATTGCGAATCTCGATACTTGTATTTCTAGAATTCCTCTTTAAATATTCAACCCTATTTTCCAGTTCTCTTATGTAGCTCAAGTGATTTCCTCTTTCCTTCTCACATTTATTGAGCTTTGTCTTTATTTCATCGTATTTAAGAGATAAAAATTCCATTGACTTTGAGATGTCACAGTTCTGTGCCTTTATTTCTTCTATTGCAGAGTGCATAGCAGATTATTTTTGATTTTGTGCATCACTAGCCGTATTAAACATATTCTTCATTTCTATTATAAATGCCTTCAAATCGTCTTCCATCATGTCGCCTCGCTTGCGCTTTTCTTGTCTCCAAGTAATATTACTAAACATCCGTGAACGATTCTTTTGGTTCATTAATTGATAAATTGGGTGTTGAGCCACTGCATAGTTTTATTGGTGTAAGTGATAATGACATAATTAAAACCGTCAAATTATTTAATAACTTTTATAATACCCTCGTTGAGACTTTTTGAAAAATCTCGTTTGGTGTCCACAATCACTGGAAGTTATCGATGATATTGTAGCAGTCCACTGTTAGTTGAGCTGAGGTCAACCTAAACCGGGCGTTCGGTATGAAATTGCGCTCCGTCCAATATAACAAGAGCCTCTCGACTGGCCTTCCACCGATTAAATATATTGCAATACAGCACGCTCGCGACCAAAACGTCGCAAGCGCCGTGGATTTCACGTCGCTTACGCGTTCGCATAAAACACTGCACTGTTTTATACCGAATTAAAAATATTTATATGAACATTGAAAATTTTATCAACTTGAAGCTATAACGCGCGGAATGCGAATGATAATAATTACTGCCCTTTATTAAAAAAAGTACATTGTGTCACAACATTCGCAGATAAAAATCAAATTTAATTCAATATATTTCAAAAGGTAACAGTATCAGACTTCTAATGACCGACCATTAAAAGTCTGTTTTTGTCCCTATTTTTTTACTGATAACCGAGTAAAGTAATGTTATAACAAAAAGCCGAAGGTGTCGGAATCAAGTCAGCCGTCACGAAAAGTAGTAATCTTTACCTACGGTACTAATGACAATAATAGCTTATATTAACACTTAACGCGCTGTCGGTGCTGTTCTGCCTAACCTCGAAGCTTGGGTCGGTAGGGAGGGAGGTCGCGTCACCTATCGACTGACGCAGGTACTCACTGGAGATGGTTGCTTCGGTGAGTACCTGAATCGTATCGGACGCGAGGACACGGCACAATGCCAGCACTGCGCAGCCGACTGGGACTCCGCCCAGCACACGCTGGAAGACTGAACGCGAAGTCCTGATCGATCAAATCGGAAGAGACCTGTCCCCGCCAGCAATCATTGCTGCCATGCTGGCGGGTGAAGAGGGATGGGGTGCAGTGGTCTATTTCTGTGAAGCTGTAATGCTCCAGAAAGAGACCGCTGAACGGGATCGGGAGAGGGCCGTTCCCGAGCGTAGAGCACGTCGGCGACCAGAGAGTGGGGACCTCTGGTGGCAGTTTGAATAGGATAGATAGGACGGCCTGATTGCATTAAGGCGAAATTGGGCCGCCACGTCGCGATTGTGGGGGGAACTGTTTTTCCCTGGGATAGGGCCTGATTAGACATGGTGTCAATTCGGGGAGGACCTGAAATAACATGGTCCGGGTCCCCCAAGAGTAGGGCACCTGAGGCCGGTCGTCGGGGTGGTTTTTAGTGGAATCACCACATACTCCTGGCTCCTGAGTTCCCGAGGAGCAGGAAATCCGAAGGTATTTTCCAAACCATTAAAAAAAAAAAAACACTTGTTCACCTTAACTTAAATTTTTAAATGTAGTAAAAACAAATTTTAAAAAATATGTCAAAATTAATAGATATGTTGGAGATCGTGGAACGGAACGTCAAGTATAATCGATTTGGGCGTATTCGGATGAGTTAATTGGCAACACAGCGGTTGACAGCTCGCTGTCATATAAAAACGCGATGCGTTCAACGGGCACGGCACTCTTTGGGACACTCGATACCGACGCACGTTTTCGTTTCAATATTGTGAATAAAGTTATTCTGATTTAAATTATCTGTCGCTCGAGTACCCAAATCAGTGCGCACATCCATTGGAAACTATGTCAGATCATGATGAAGACCCGAAGTGTCGCACCTCGGCCGCCCTCGATGCGACAGATATATAAGAGAAGCACAAAAGTTGGTAAATAGGCAAAAAAAAACATTAAAAATGACAAATTAAATAGAGAGAGGCTGTCATTGCTTGGAAAATTAGATATGTATTCAGAAAAAATAAAAAATTGTCACTTGAACCATGACTATGAAACACAACACCTTCATTCTCAGTTAGATAGTCTTAATGAGAAGTTAGTATCTATGACCAACAAATATAAGAGTGCCGAAAAGCAAATGAGGGAGTACATGCTGGCAATGAATGAGCTGGTGAATTCTGATTCGTGTAACTGTAACCATGCTCAATTGTTGATCGAAAATGACTCATTTAGTAGTCGTCACTCCCCGGTTCACTCTGACCTGGCTTGTGGCACTCCCATGTTGTTAGCAAATAATAATAAGACATCCCTTATAACGAAGAACAACTCAGAAAATTTTAAAAGAAATAAAATTGTAAAAGTCAGTGATGAGATTAGTGTGACGTAGGTAAATTTATAGACAACTGTTCGGTTCCATAATCGGTTTAATAATGTTCTAAATAAATATGTGCAGTTACATATAAGGTAAGGCGAGCCGCACACTACACCTCCCCTTTTAATAAAAAAAATGATTTATTCTATAAATTATTTTTATACACCAAACAATGAGAAAAAAAAATACAAGCTTTACATAACATATTATGTTTAATACAATTTTACTAATTTTATGTAACAAATAACTTAGTATGATTTTTATGAATAACATAATATTTTCCATCTTTTAAAATTTTAACATTTGGTGATATGTCCTCTATTACTTTATATGGGCCTAAATATAATTTATCCAACTTATTTCCTACTTGATTTTTAACTAAAACTAAATCTCCATACTTATAGTTACATGTATTCATATTTTTATCGTAGTTTATTTTCCTTAATTCTTTACTTTTTAATAAATTGAACCTAGCTTCGGTTTGTACTCTCTGAAGTCTATATTTTAGTTCTAATGGGTAAGAATCAGGATTGTATACATATTTTGTGCTAAATTGGTTGGTAAATTTCAATTTTTACCAAAAACCAACTCGAATGGAGAATATTTTGTCTCAGTATG